AGAATGGCCTGGCGAGCTCGAAGAACCACGAATCACGCTGCACCATCAGCGCACCACTGACCAACGCGGTCAGGGAGAATCAACGGCGCGACTGAGAAAGGCTGTATGCATGCCTATACTGCAACTAGAAGATTTCCAGCTTAACCACAGTCTGATGCCTTGATGCCTGCAGCTCGGCCAAGGCACAAGCAAGCAGACATATCTAATTACACACATCCATCCATGCGAGTGTTCATTTAGTACGGACTTTTTACACGCACGCCCCTCACCATGACGCCAGCTAGAAAAACTGAGCGGAGTGTTTGACCCGCCGTGACCCAGCACTATGTTTGATATGCACGCGAGTGGCTCTGTCCGCCTGTCCCTTTAACTGGCTGGCGTCAATGGGAACCACGCCGAGAGAACAGCACGGGCAGCCCGCTCAAGCACCAGTCTCTGATCTCGTCACGGGATCGGCAATCACAGGAGATGCTCTGTGCTCCCGGAGAGAGCACGAGCTACGAGAGGTCTGGGCGGGTGCTTTTGTTACGAGCGGGTGGGATGTTTGTCAATATGGGGAATTTTGGGCCAGACCACCAACCGGAAACATCCCCATCATCGACACAATACAGGGTAAACGGTAAATGCCATTATGTAATAATGATAAGACCACAAGTAGGCTATGAGATTATCCTCCAATCATAACCCAAATTATGAGTACAGTTCGGGAACTTACAAACTCCGGGATAAAACGGTGTGGAAAATCGCTCGAGTCATTGTAAATTAATAGCAACAGGAGAAACTGACTCATATTCGGGAAATTATCCCTAATTTCTTTTTGGATTTCCTCGAAATTCGGAAACGGAAATGTCGGCGTCAGTCAGCACACTGCAGTCCTCAGCAGCTGGCGACCAGATCAGCGTTATCTCCGACCTCTGTTGACCCCTGGACCTCGCCCTGAGTCACCGGGCGTGTCCAGAGAGCAGCTCAGGGACCGACGCGACGGCTCGGCCGATCCAGGGCGGAATGGTCGCGTGACGGACGTGCCTGGACGACCGGGCGGCGGCGCAGGAGACAACCGTGACGGGACGTGACAGAGGCCGGTGACCGTCCGTCACACGGCACACGTCACACAACGTCAACCCGCAGCCGACACAGACGCGGCCAGCCGGCACCTGAGATCCGCAGTACAACGGCTGGTCGTATATGGCTTATCCAGCTCACAATGAAGATTGGCCAATAAGACCATACCATAAACATACAACCCCAGGTCCAGCGAAACATCGACGAATACAGTTGAGCTGGCGTCGACCATACCGATCAGCCACTGAGATCGATCAGTCATCCCAAGCGCTGCAGTTTAACGTTCTCCAGGTCATGTTCTAGTACCCTTCACACAATTTCAACTTCCTTCATGTCACATAAACCCACCCTCCATCTCTTCTTTTGTCTCCCACTATGTCATGTGGCCGTCCTCTCTTCTCTGCGGCGCTCGTGCTGCCTGCGCCCATTCTCCTGACCGGCCAATTATGCCTGAGAGGACGCGGTCTGGATATAGGCCGACCGGAGTGAGCGCGTGTGGGCGGCGACCGGTGCGAGACGCCGCTCTCCGCCGCCGCAGTTCAGAGGTCGGCTCTGCCCAGCGCCGCGCCGCGCCGAGAGGGTCGGGTTGGAACCCCCGGAGACGAGAGGGTCGCGCTGGAACCCCACGCTGAAGACGAGCGGGCCGGGCTGGAACCTTGCACCGCAGGTGAGAGGGTCGCGGGCTGCAAAACCATGAAGTATATACGAAAGGACCGCACCGCACCCGTGAATACCTGATGCATTCCAGTGGGTCCCGGAGCTTCGGAAAGTACCAGACAGTGGAATGCTGTTTGGCAGCTCAGCATACAGAGGAGAGCTGCGGCGGCGGCCTTTGGCGAAACGACAGCTACACGACAGCTTGCGTGACACCGCGGCAAAAGTGCTCTGATCGAACTGATCGACTTTCCGGGGGCTGCGACGAGTAAACACTATTACCCGGTTTCTGCGACCACCCTGAGTCATTTTGCCACTTTGTTTGTGGTCGCGTGATAGTCGGCGATTTGTAGTCGCCACTGTAGATGTGTGTCGGTTGCACGCGGTGAAAAATGAGCCGACGGCACACCATCAAGCCGCGCGTCACCTAACCGCCGCCTCCGTCGCCGCCGGTTCGTTCCCAGCACTAATTACCTGAGTCCGCCGCCGCGCCGCGCCCGGGGGAACAACCGGGCCGGCGTTCCTTCCTAGTTCCTATGTCCGGAGCAGCGTCCGCACGAAAAGAAGACGCCCCAACTCAGACTTCCTCGGCGCTTCGGCACCATCAGTGGCTCCTTCCACCGCAGGTCCTGTCAACAAACACCGGAGCTTCCGTGCCGCGGCTGCTGCCGAGCGGGGGCGGCTGGCGGGCGGGGAGCGGCGTCTGGCGGGCGGGGAGCGGCGGGACGGAGGGAGCGAGGGACCGAGGGGCGCTCTAACGGTGCCGGCGCACTTCCCAGTCGGGCGGTCGGCGTGGGAGCGGCGCCGAGCCGCCGAATTACCCTCCTCAGTCGCCGCCGTGCCACACAAAGCTGGACTGGAAACTCGGCCAGTGGAGGCGGCGGGGCGAGCCGGGGCCGGTGGGTTCCCAGACGGGACTCGGGACTGCGTGAGTCAGGGACTCTGGTCGGCGTACCGGCGGTAGGCTGCCTAAACCGTGTCACAGTGGGGAGACGATGGAGCAGCCCAAGTTACGGCAGAAACGACCCGTCACTTGGCAGCTCGCCGTTCCTACGGAGCCACCGGCAGCGACGGACTACCGGTCGGCTGAAGGGCTGTCACACTGACATACAGTTGACAGCTTGACATATATCAGAAGTGGTTAGGCAGCTTATCAAAACAGTGACCAAATGATAGTAACAAAGAGTGAGCGGGCTCTTTGGTCACAGCATTTCAGCGTATAGTCAAAGAGTTGCGCCAGTCTGCCGATCCGATGGCTACCGATCCGGTTGTTTCTGGTGATTCGTGTATTCTGGTGACTTCCGTCGATCTGGTGATTCTGGTGATCTTCGCCTGTGTTCATTGTCTACCGAACCGGTTATTTCTGGTGATCCGCTTATTCTGGTGATCGGATAATTCTGCTGATTTCTATGTCGCATTACCTGACTGCATCTCGAACGTCCAATGACTGCGCACCTTCCAAACAGGCATTATTTACGTTACGAACGTGATGCGTTTTCCTATAAATCCTGCAAAGTCCAGTTAAAACAAAACAATTCCAGACGAGAGCACACCGTCGCAATGGCCTGCGTCATTGGACATCACAAACCTGTCGCAAGTCGGCACTCGTAGTCAGTCAAGCCATAAGCCCTCTGTATGATTGGTTTTTGAGACTCAACTCCGCGTCTCTTACAGTCTTGGAGTATCACTGACCGTATAGACCAGCGTGGGCTTTCTGGCCGATTACCAGCCTGATCCCACGTCTACCGCCACTAGTCCGCCTCCGCTGCCGTTTCTCAACAACATATGCATAATGCATGGTACCGGTTTGTAATTTCAGCCGCCCGGGCGGCCGGTGCAGGTCTCACGGCAGCTCGCCGATCGACCGGCCGGGTCCCGCCGCGCCGCGGGAGAACCGCCCGCTAACAGGAGAGGCGTGTGTGCCGGGCAGGGAGTGACGGGGGCGGCCGGCGGCACCCCGCAGGAGCGGGTCAAACGGCTGACCTGACCCATCACGAGCACCAAGCGCACAGTCGGCGCCTCAGCGCCATCGCTGACCCGACTGCCATCGGTCCCCGTGAACTATCTCGTCTCTCCGAGCTTTTACATCTTTCGGAACTGCCTTCCACGGTTTATGTGAGCTGCCTCTTTCAATGAACTGTCCCCTCTCCGTGAAACCAGCATCACCGCATCGCCCACCTTTGCCATCGCATATTTGCTAACGCACTCTGACTGCAGCCGTGCCGTGTCCTGCGTGTTGCCAAAGTCCTCATAGCACCACTGAGCGGGGCTGACCTCAGCGGCCCACGCACCGTCTCTCTACCGACCTGCCAGCAGCCGGGTGACCCCAGCCGGCCGGCGTGACGCGCAGCTTCTGGTCGTGACCGACACACGGCGCCGAGCTGACCGGCCAGCGCCGACCGGCCAGCGCCCACTGCTGACCAGCGCGGCCGCCGTGTTGACGCCAGCAGGCTCCAGTCATGCCCTCACTTTGTCCCCACCTTCGCCATGGTCAAAGCTGAAATCCAGGAGGGGCTACTGCCATTGCTACCACTGCACGCTGTCGCCAAGTTAGCAAATTGGCTCCCATCCGTCACCTAGCTCGAACAAAAGCGAGTGGAACGTCACCAGAAAGGCCTACAAAGCATCGTCTCAGCGCCGACAGCAACACCGACATTAGTGCATTTGTCCGTGCCTGGGCTAGGCATGATTATGCTGGAGAGCAGCAGCTCACGAACGATGCAACTGGTTACCGTATCGTTACATAACTCAGGACTGGTATACGAAGACTGAAACGGAATAGCATGACATTCGGCCGGTGTTTGCCGTCAAAGGACGTCTCATCCGTCCTGCCCACTACCTTATGTAGCCCGCAGACTTCCTTGGTGTGGAACTGGCGACAAAGGGCGGGTCAGTAGACTGTGTTGGTGTCACCGAGCTTAGAGCTATCCCTATCTGTTGATTGACGGATGCTGGGCAGACAGGGAACGGCCAGGGAGCGTCCACCGCTCCTGCTGCCCAGCTCAGCACGGTGACTGCGTGGGTACACTCCGACACATCCTGTCCCATCATGGACGGCAGGCCGTGGATCGGCGTCCTCTTGGCGCCATCGATGGCCATTTGGTCGGTGAGTCAGCCCGTCAGCCAGTGCCAGAGACGAGTGCTGTAAGTGGACACGCCTCTCTGCAAGGCTAGCAGGTAGGCTGGCCTCCAATGGAGATGGGGACTATGAAGGGGAAGAGGGGAGGAAGGGTAAGAGGGAAATGGGGGGGTGGACGGCCTCGGCCACGGATCGGTGGTGTTGAAGAAAACGATGTGCCGCCAGACGGCGCGGGTTATGGTCCGCGGCCGATATAGATGTCGCGGCAAACGCGTGCCTTTGCCCCATCTGTATTTCGTGGTTATTTTTTGCCTTGTTTAATGTTCTAAAATCAATTGGTGTTTTTTTATTGATTTATTGCTTTTAAGGGTAGTGTTTTCTGAGGTGGAATTTGTGATTTGCTTGTTTTGTGATTGACCGTTTTTCCATCTCTTGCTTCTCTTTTTTTGCTGTCGTGTCATTGTTGTTGCGTGTGATGGGCGGTTAGCTGCGCGCCCGATGTTCGCTTTTTGCTCAGTGGCGAATAGAGTTGATGTTGAGTTCAGAAGTTTGGTTTCCTGAACATTTGGTGCCGAAACCCGGGACGTAGAACCAGTGATCTTTGATCGAGTACTTCTGGATGTTTGGTGCCCAGAAGCAAGATAGTACTGCGCTGGTTTCGTCTATTTATACCACGCCGGTCGGTTTGGTGACGACATGGACGTGGAGAGATTGAAGAGAGCGCGCGCCGCGGCTAGGGGCTGGGCCACGCGATCGTGCAGGGCCCTCCAGCTGGCGTGTAGCGCTCCAGAGCCGGATTGCTATGAAATCCAAGAGCTGAAAGCCGAGGTCGAGCAGAGGTTGAGTGCGCTAGATTCGTCTCAAGCTGCGCTGGAAATTGAGTTTGATGAGTCGGAGCTGCCAGAAGTTGTGGAAGAGGCTGCTGACTTTCGCAGCGGTATCAGCAAGGTGCTACGCACTGCTGGTAAGCTTCTCCTTCGTGATATTGATCCGAACCTGCCTGCTCACTCTGGTGGGGCCTCCAATGCTGGAACCTCTGGTCTGCCGAGACTCCCGAAGTTAGACCTACCCAGTTTTGATGGGGACGTCCTGAAGTGGTTGAACTTCTGGGAGTGTTTTCAAGCAGCAGTTGGTGATAAGGAGGAGTTAGCGGACATTACTAAACTGGCCTATCTTCGGTCCCTTCTGCGGGGTGAGGCTGCTCAGTGCATTGCTGGGCTCCCGCTGACTGGTGCCAACTTTGCTACTGCCAGCAAGCTGCTGCAGGACAGGTATGGCAGGACGGATTTGATCATCTTTAAACATGTGCAAGGTCTGCTGAACATGGACAGAGCAACTGAGGATGTGAGCAGTCTCCAAAAGTTGCAAGATGAGCTTCAAGTGCATGTGCGGAGCCTTGAGTCACTTGGAGTGAAAGGAGACAACTATGGGGTTATCTTAACTCCACTGTTGCTGAGCCGGCTTCCCAAGGACATTTGCCTGGCTTGGGCGCGTGACAGTGTTGGCAAGGAAGGTGATCTGGTGTTCCTGCTGGAGGTGCTTAAGGCTGAGGTGAACTCCAGGGTGAAGTCTGGGGTTTACAGCGGCCTGTCTGCAGCTGGTGAGAAACCGACTACAGCTTCAGGAGTGAAGACCCGGCCAGTGGACCGGGACAGCGGTCGGAGGAAGAGGCTTCAGCAGCCTCGGTCTGGGGCAGCTCTGCAGGCTGCTTCCCCTGGTGCTGGTGCTGGGTGTGAGTTCTGCTCAGGGCCACACAGAGCTACTGAGTGTCCTGACTTCCTCAGCTTAAGTGTAAGCGAGCGACAAGACAAGGTGAGAGGAGCTAACTTGTGTTTTGTCTGCCTAAAGGGGGGACATCGAGCCAGACACTGTCTAGAGAAGTGTGCTCACTGCAAGGGTAGACACAATGTGCTCTGTTGCTACAAACATGTCTTTGACTTTACTCACAAGGGTGTGAAAGCTTCTGATGCTGTTTCAAGTGATAGTGCTCATGTGGGTTCAGGCAGTAGGCCTGCTGCCATTGCTTCATTGTCATGTGTACCCCCAGTTCAATGTAGCGTACTGCCTACTGCTCGTGTGTATGTGAAGGGTAGTAAGGGGGTAGTTGAAGCTACTTTGATGTTTGACACTGGGAGTGATCGCAGCTATGTCAGCCAGTCACTGGTGAAAAGAGTTGGTGCAACTTGGATAAGAGCAGAAAGGAACACTTACTGTGCCTTTGGTGGGGGCAAGTCTGCTATCGCTGAGCGTCAGTTGTATGAAATGGAGGTGTCAGGAGCCAATATGGCCAGGCCGGGTGCAGTCTGTTTGAGGGCCATGGAGGTTCCTGTGATTTGTTCCCCTTTGCAACGTCCGCAGGTGCCACAGGAGGTGGTTCGCTCCTTGGGTGGTTTGGAGCTGGCGGACGGGAGATTCAGTTCTGATCGACACCTGTCTGTGGACCTGCTGGTTGGGCTGGACCAGTACTGGCAGCTGCTGAAGGACGGCCTGCTCCGTACTTCTGCAGGTTTGGTCGCCCAAGAGACGGTATTTGGTTGGACAGTCTCTGGCTCTGTAGCTGGCAGGCCAACCTTGTCCACCTGTCAGCTCCTCTTGCTTAACGATGTCTCAGATGATGCCTTCCGCAACCTGTGGGATTTGGAAGCCATAGGTGTTTCACATGATGATGATGAGTCAGATCCTGTTCTTGCTCATTTCAATGCTACAGTCTGTAAGAGAGATGGGCGTTACGAAGTCAACCTTCCTTGGAAGGAGGGGAGTGCTCCTCTGGGTGACAACCGTGACATGGCGGCTGGTCGTTTGGCAGGATTGAGACGAAAGCTGGCTAAGGACCCTGTACTTGCAGAGCGCTATGATGCTGCTTTACAGGAGATGGAGGATGCCGGGGTTATTGAGGAGGTTCCTGGCTGTGAGCTGCAGACCTCGTACCCGGTGTTCTACCTGCCGCACCGGCCTGTCTTGAAGGAGGACAGCTCCACTACTAAGGTGCGGCCGGTATTCGACGCGTCGGCAGTGGGCCCTGGCGGCGTCTCACTCAACGACTGCTTGGAGGTGGGTCCGTGCTTGGTTCCGAGCCTGCTGGAGATACTTCTGCGCTTTAGGCGCTGGCCGTTCGCCATTGCAGCGGATATCTCAAAGGCTTTTCTGCAGGTTCAGCTGCGTAAGGAGGACCGGGACGTGCACCGATTCTTGTGGTGGCGTAACGGAAGGGTACGGGTGATGAGGTTCATGCGTGTCACTTTCGGTGTGAGGAGTTCGAGTTTCCTCCTGGCGGCCACTATCCGCCACCACCTGACACAGTACCCGTCCTCGCCTCTGATTTCGGATCTGTCGGAGAATTTCTATGTTGACGATTACCTGTCTGGTGCTGACACTGAGAGTGACGCCTGCTCTAAGCTGAAGGAGGCACAGACTGTAATGGCAGGTGCTGGAATGACGCTGACGAAGTGCTCGTCCAACAGTACAGCAGTGTTTGATATGGTGCATGGCGTGTCGTCGGCTGAGTGCGGGCCCGTGAAGGTGCTTGGGGTCCGCTGGATTCCGGGTCGTGACGCATTCTGTTTTGACGGCGTCTGTTTGCCAGCAGATGTCGTTCCCACTAAGAGAGCCGTGCTCAGCTTCATTGCGAGGCTGTACGACCCGCTCGGCTTTGTCGCGCCATTTACAATGATGGCGAAGCTGCTCTTTCAGGACATCTGGCAGCTGGGTCTGGAGTGGGATGCCGTACTGCCAGATGACCTCAGCCTGACCTTTTCGCAGTGGGTGAAGGGTCTGACCGAGTTGAAGGAGTTTGAGGTCCCGCGCTGTTTCACAGAGAGGCCTTGGAATGATGGAGAAGGTGTTGAGTTGCATGCATTTGGCGATGCGTCTCCGAAGGGCTATGGTGCCGCAGTATACCTGCGTGCCGCTCGTGAGGATGGATCATACGCCGCTTCTCTCGTGATGGCTAAGGGGCGTGTGGCTCCTCTAAAGGAGCTGAGTCTGCCGCGGCTGGAGCTCTTGGCTAGCTTGATGGCTGCGCGTCTGCTCGTGTTTGTACGACGGGCTCTGAGACTGCCGGAGAGTGTGGCTCTCCGCTGCTGGACTGACTCCATGGTTGCCTTGGGATGGATCCGCGGGGATCCCAACAGGTGGAAGCAGACTTGTGCCAAGGTCCCAAAAAGGTCCGAGATCCAGGGTTCGCAGAGTCCAAGGTCTGGGACCTTGATGGATCCTGGACCTTGCATTGTCATTTTTGTCGTGAGACCTTGGAAACCCAGGACCTTAAAACATCCATATGCCGCGAGACCTTGGAATCCCAGGACCTCAACATTTGCATACGTCGTGAGACCTTGGAATCCCAGGACCTCAACATTTGCATATGTCGCGAGACCTTGGAGTCCCAGGACCTCAACATTTGCATATGCCGCGAGACCTTGGAATCCCAGGACATCAAAATTTCATGTGACATGAGACCTTAGAAACCCAGGACCTCAACATTTCATATGCTGTGAAACCATGGAAACCCAGGGGACAGGAGTAGGACCTCAAAATTTTGGTATGCTGCAGCCTGCAAGACCCTGCAGAATGCAGATCTTCAGTCCCAGTTTTATTATTTGTCATGGGATCTTAGGAGAAGGGCCGGGACTTACACCATCATTTTGTTGAGGGATCTCAAGAATCCTGGAAGCTGAACCATGAGGCTTATGTTGCACATGGGCCACTTAGGACCCTGCACTAGGTTTTGTCTGTAGACACTTCAATAAATATCATGGTTGAGCCACCAGCTGCAAGGGGCTAAGATAGATACATGAAGAGAAAACGAACCAGACTGTGAGTGTGTAGAGTAGTGTAGACATATATAGAGCCAAATCGTTTTCATGGCTGTGAGGCAGAACTGGGACAAGAGACCTGGTAGCTTTTTACATTATCAATGTTGTGGATTATGAAACTGTCAAACAGTGGACAGTGGTGGTTTGGAAAACTCTTTTCTAATCTCACCTCACATATTTTCTGGGCTGTGATATGCCGGGCTTGAAGCTACTTGGAAGCTACCCACTTGACCAAGTAAGTGTCAAACTTATTTGATTTGCAAGTCGTCAAACCACCATTGAGCAATGAGCATCCAATATAAGCAATGAATCCATGACAGTTCAGCTTTTTCGTTTAGCAGGCTTTCGTCGGACAATTTTTCGTCTGCAGATTTTCGTCCCAGACTTTCGTCCGCAGGCTTTCGTCTATGCATTTTTTTTCGTATGTGCATTTTTAACTCCGCACATTTTTTCGTAAGGACATTTTCCGCCTCGTCCAGACGAAAAAATGCCGGACAGAAAAATACTCAGACGAAAAATGTACCAAATCAATTCGTACCTACAGACGAAAAAATGCAAGACGAAAAAGTCAGACGAAAATCTGCCGACGAATAACCGTCGGACGAAAAAATTGTCAGATGGAATTTTGTTCAGAGCCTTCAAGTTATTGTGATTGAACAGTAAGAAAGTTTTGCGCTCGCTGATACTCTAATTCTATTGGCTTACTCGATCAGTTTTTCTGTTAGCGCTCGCGCAAACAAGACTTAGAACATATTTGAGTTTTTATACTAGGTATTATGTAATGTGCAGTATCCAATTCAGTTTTTCCATTTTTATGAAGCCTGTAGGTTTTATTTCTGGTATTTTTATATTGCCTGAAATAATACTTTGATGTCTCTGTCTTCAATAACTGTAAGGTGCTATCCTACATTCCTAATGATCAGGTAAGATTGATTTGAAAGGGTCATGACAATACAAAATGCAAGGTACAGGGACCCGCAGTTGCTACTGTACACATATATTACCAATTTAGAATTGCGCTATTATTTGCTAAGTGCTGGCCATTGGAGAAAGGAAATGTAGCGCAAAGTATGGAGGAATAACACATGTTTGCTCCTAGCACGTATGTTTTGTATAATTCCTCTTACCGCAACAGATATTCTTCCAAAACTACAATCGTGCTATTTTTCCGCGCCGGTTGCCTCCCCAGAGCCCGTCCTTGGTATCGCCTATAGCTTCCGTTCCCGCTACGTGAATGAAAGTCACGTAACTACTACAGGTTTGCGCTCAGTACTAACACACCTAGCCCGAGGGCCGGTCCGTAGCGGGGAGGGGTAGAACGCCTGAGCTCCAGCGCAGTGGAGGTGGTGGTGGCCCGTATCATAAAGAGGCAACCGTAAGCAGAACTACAATTGCTGCAGTGTAAGATTATGATCGAGTTTTCTTTAAATGTATTGATTGACAAGAAAGTGCAACGTTTATCCGATATAATAAAACGGTGCGCAAGGCCTTGGAAGAACTATAAAACATATTCAGCAACGTATAAATTTCTGATACAGGCCATGACCTTTCACCTTGCCTCCGGGGAGGACCGCTCAGGAAGCCACATACCGAACGAATCGAGGCCTCGCAGCGCGGCGGCAGAGGAGGTGGATAAACCATCGCCAGATCTTTCGATTACTTATGTTTCCAGAAGAAGGAGGGGGGGGGGGTGGAGAGGGGGCTATTTTCAACCCACTCACCAATCCTTTCCTTATTAACTTATAGCTTACCGAAAAATGCAACACAATGGTGGCCGTCACGAGATGTAGCGAAGAGTGCCTCAGCCACACCGGTTTTGAGTAAACTTTAAGCATTCGAATTCAGGCCAGTGATCCTGAAGCATTATTTTATTTTTGTCGTGCATAAGCTGGGATGACGTGGTCCAAGTTAATTGCGAAGAAACGGTTTTAGTTTCAGAACATTTATGAGGCTAGTCGCGCCAAATAGTATACGTTTGTTGTAAAATGTCAAATAGAATGTTGACGTGCTATCCAGATGATGGAATTTATTTGACACAAGAAGTCAAAAAGTGGCATCGTTAGTCATCCTGCATACCTATAAATCGATTCGTCACCTTGGTTCGAGCTCAATAGTTCTTTTCGCGGATGATCGGTTTCGTTTTCTTTTATTTGGGGGGGGGGGACAGTTTATGAGCCAGTAACCACCTTCCCCAGCCCCCCCAAACAACCATTGTTGACAAATACTGTGATGGCCTAAAAAATGCCCTCAATTGTGTAACGTAGGGAAGAATGAGGTAAGTTGAGCCGCTTTTGTTTTTCGTAAGCTACAGGCTAACTTACTGATCATTTTTCTGCGTTTACGAGTTGGACGGACAGAGTGGTCATTGCGCATGTTATGGTGGCCAGAAATGTTTCATACCGCTTATTTTTGTACTGAAAGGCTACGTCAAAAATCATCTTGCACGTTGCTCATCTTACCCCATGGGCGGGGTAAGTTGAGACACGTCGTGGGGGAAATTTGAGCATGGATGGAAAAAGCGAACCTCTTCTTTTCCCGGGCGCGGCGAAAACTGGGCTCTTTTATTTACTCCATGGCAAAAATACTTATGGCAAAGTTTTTTTCCTCCATCAAAAAGTGACTGTTTTAAGCCTTCCGATAACCCTTCAAGTTTTCTATCACGAAAGAAATCATTTTATCCTTCAGATAATCTGCAAATCACTTACAACTTGTGTAATCAACAAAGAAAAACAATTTCCTACCATTTTTATTCAGCAGATACAAGCGCATCTCCGTTTGGTTTTCGACAGCGGAGACAACAATGGCTTATCCGGCTCATCTTCCCCCAGGTGAAAATGGCTCACCTTGCCCCACCCGTGGCGGCGTGGCCATTTTCGATTAATGACACCCGCTAAGGAAAATAACCATGCACCGCAGATAACAACCATCTCATTTTAAAGGCAAAACATGTCTTAGTTATCAGGGGCGATACCACATGTTACCGGGTGCTGAGCGTGAGAACGTTGCCGTCTCACGTGAAAGACTGCAGCATCGTCAGCGAACGGCACATGGAAGCTCAAGTCAATCAGCGCCATAGGAGCTGAGAAACATGGGGTGGCTAAACTTGCCCCTTGGCTCATCTATACCTCACTCTCCCCTATTTGGGGCTCGCAACCTTGATTCGTTAAAGCTATTTGTCTGTTCATTATAAAAGCTGTCAAATTTGCCGTATCATTAAACTTTTATTGAGTTTGTATTTCACACTTATCTAAAATGAACAATTTTGTCACTGGCTTCTTTTATGAATGGAATTGGATGGTCGCATGAATGAACGAATGAATAGCTCCATTTGAGCATCAGCTGAAATTAATCCTAAAATTTAATCTACCAGCCTGCAACGAAAAGGTTTAAAAACCAGTGCAAGTTAGGTGCAGTTTCTAATCTATGCCGTTTTTTATTAAGTGTCTCATAGTTCCTTAATCTTGAGCCGCTTCTCTCACGATTCATTTTATGTGTTGCTTACTTTGTTCAAGAAGTTATTTTATTCGAGCTCGTTGGTCTTAAAAACTGCTATCGAAGTAAATTAAAGTGTTTCGGGCTTCGGCACTTAAAAAGCAATCGATATTTAACCCTCACCTATTTAGGCATTTCTTTTCAGCGTCTTACATGTAGCGGAGGGGCGTAGAAACCCTCAGCCATTCGGCCCTTGATAAAAAGAGCCAGAGCTTCGCTGAAAAATAAAAAGAGCGTGCTGCTCGTGACGAGAGAAATCCGATGATTTGAGGGTCCTGGTCATCGCTGACGAGAAAAAGCCAATTATTTTTATGTCCTGGTCAATGCTGAGATCCTAGGTCACTGGTTGACCTCCCAGATCAGGTTAATAACCCAAAAGCACGGAAAATTGGGTCCTGCTAGAATTTCTACAAGTGAAGTTTGCTGGGACTTGCTTGCTTCTGACTCCGAATTTGCACTTGCTTTGATCAAAGATGATGTATCAAAGCATTTGGGGTAGGACGGGTCCCGCCAGATCACCCATTAGGCGTTCTGCTGGCTATATAGAATGTTAACCAGCACTTACAGCCTTGCAACATATTGCATAGGCACTATAACTGATACCTAAGTATGCCTAGTTTTCAAATGCTAAAATGGGTGCTAAATTTCAAACCAACACTTCCTAAAAACCACAGTAAAAAGGTGTAAATTTAAGGAAGTTAACCGAGATCATTTCAAGTAAATGACCTAAACCTGAGTTTCACGTGACCTTGGCACCCACAACAATTAATGAGACAAACATTAGACAGTATATTTCACATGTTGTCACGTTGCTAATCACGAAACGACTATGGAAACACACAGAAGATGTGCGCTGACTTTCGATTGCTATTCTGGCCTGACATGATCTTGAGAAAAATAATCACAGGTTAAAAGTAATTTGGTTCAGGGATTTAAAATTCTCGGACAAGATGCAAAAATGATAAGGACTATTTAATTTTCCGGGAAGTTGTAAAATTGATTAACTCCAGGGCACCAAAGAATCGTCGCAATCCTTCGCTTTGCCGCGATTTATTGGTGAAAAACGGGCGCGGTCTACTTACCTGTACTTTTATGTGTGGTGAGGGCTAATATTCATTTTATCTGTGTTGATGAATGTGCAACAATTTCTATATGAACTGAGACCAGTCCATATGAGTATGTTTTTCTCACGGACAATGACAATATAAAAACAATGCGAATAAAACAAAACGTTTCGGACAACAACGTGCCGTCGTCAGTGGAGAAAAATGAGTGTATAGGTTTAACATCGATGAGAACTAAATGCGGCACCGTCTCGGTCTGGCCAGCCGGGTTGCCGATAAAATACACAAATGTTTATAAGCTTCCATGATGTGCTTAAAAAACTGCTGAAAACATATCTTTAAAAAATAAAGATAACTACTTCATCGATGTTATCGAAAGAAAACATGTATGCCTAATTACTCATTTCTTGCCACTGACGGAGGCACTTTTTTGTGCGAAACGTCTGGTTTTATTCGTATTGTTATATTGTTATTGTATTGTCATTCCCTGTGAGAAAAAAAAAAGGATAACTCTTCAGTTAGTAACCATAACAGCGAAACGGCTTATTGTAACACAATTCACTGTGTATACGAAACCTATAAGTCCCTAAAATAATTTTATTTACAACTTTTAAAAAGATACAGCTTATACAGCTTGGGCATACAATTTTTTCTGCATTAAGATAATATTAATTTATCTCCACAGAATATGGTAAATTAGTGCTGCTGAAGTTCGCTTTCGAAGCGTCTCCTCCAGACATTCCACAGCTCTCGTGCCATTTTGGATCACGGAACATGGCTGGGCGCAGGACAGGTCAGGTCGTCTGCGAGCTTGGACGGACCACGTGACCACCTCCTCCACTCCCCCTCACTCCCATCCCCTTCCCCAGCAGGGCGTCCGATCTAACCGCGCCCCAGGCAGTCGGCTCGGTCCGACCCTCCCCATGGTCGAGCCACGGCCCGGTGCCGTCTGAGTTTGTGCCGGGTGCAAAACTGGAGCAGTAACTAGCGCCGGAACTAATAGTCAGCACGACCATCGTCAGATGGCAGGAGTAAATGGAATAAGCGGTTCCAGGTTTCAGAAGGAATGGGGCAGGAAAAAGCGCTGAAAACAATGTTTTGCTGATATAGCCATAAAAAGTTCACTGAATTAGGAGAGCAGCACATCAGTTTGAAGCCCTTCAGATGGTGGTTTAATAAGCACACAATCATTTCCCAATTCGCCTCCAACGGTGTCACAGGCAAAGAATACGCTGAAATACTAGTGTGTACAGAAGCAACTGCGGGTCCCTGTACCTATTACCTACCTATATTTTTATGAATTTGTCAAGCTAAAGAAGGAGAGATTGATATTATGATTCATCTTTAACTTGTGCTGAAGCTTCCCCTACCTATGTTGGTAAATGATAAAACCACCACAGGTTTGCATAGGTTCTGCCCCTTTCAATGTTGCTGGGCATCTGTTGGCAGAATATTTAGAAGTAAGTCTGCTCATCAGAATGTTAGTTTAAGTTCTTGTGTGGGACCCTGAATACTTTGGATCCTGAGATGTAGGTATTCTTGCCGTGGGACCTTGAGGACTGTGGACCCTGAACTCTGAAGTGTATACTTGTTGTGGGACCTTGGGGACTGTGGATCCTGAAATTTACACTTGTCGTGGGACTCTAGGGACTGTGGATCCTACAATGCATTCTTGTCGTGGGACCTTGGGGACTGTGGATCCTGCAATGTATACTTGCCGTGGGACCTTGGAAACCTTGGATTCTAGAAATTGAAATTGCCGTGGGACCTTGGAAACCTTGATTTTAGAAATTGAATTTGCCGTGGGACCTTGGAAACCTTGGATTCTAGAAATTGAATTTGCCGTGGGACCTTGGAAACCTTGGATTCTAGAAATTGAATATGCCATGGGACCTTGGAAACCTTGGATTCTAGAAATTGAATTTGCCGAGGGACCTTGAGGATCCTGGACCTTGATTTTTGGTCACGGCACAAGTCTGGGTGGAAGCAGTATGTTTCTAACCGGGTAACAGAGATCCAGCGGTTGACCAGCCCTTCGAGCTGGGCTCACGTGGCGGGAGAGGAGAACCCGGCAGACTTGTTGACCCGTGGCGTGTCGGCGAGCAGCCTAATCGGTTCTGACCTGTGGCTGGCTGGGCCCGAGTGGCTGTCCTCTTCGGCAGGTCGACCGCCGTCTGCAGACGGTGACGACAGCGCTTCACCGGAGGCGAGTCTTCCGAGGGAAGAGATGGCACTGCTGTCGAGATCTGGCAACCCCACAGCTCTGTTTGAGGTGGAGCGGTGGGGATCGCTTCGTAAGGCGACTCGCGTCGTGGCGTGGGTCAAGCGGTTTGTGTTCAACTGCCGCAACCCTGGTCTGAGGCGACAGTCTGAGCTGTCTGGTGATGAGATTGCGGAGGCCAGGACAGCTCTGGTGAGGGACGCGCAACAGGCTGCGTTCCCAGAGGAGGTGAGTGCTGTGGAGAGGGGCAGGCCACTGCCCAAGAGCTCACCTGTCCGCGATTTGACGCTTTTCATGGGCGATGATGGGCTTCTGCGCATTCGGGGTAGGATCCAGCTGTCCGATTTAGCATATGAGGCGAAACATCCGGTTGTGTTGCCAAAGGGACATGTATCGGAGTTATTGGTGCGTGATCAGCACGTTGTCATGGGTCATGCGGGCGTCTCGGCTCTCATTACTGCGATCCGGGGAGCTTACTGGGTTGTTGGGCTGCGTTGTCTTGCTAAGCGGGTAAAACGCAGTTGTGTGGACTGCCGGCGGCAGGACGCTCCGAGTTGTAGCGAGCCAGCCGCTCCGCTGCCCGAGACCAGGGTCACTGAGGCGCCGGCATTCGCGGGTGCGTGGATCATGCCGGTCCGGTGTTTTGTGTAGATTTTCCAAGGAAGAAGTTTTACATTACGTTGTTTACGTGCGCTGTTACGCGGGCCGTTCATGTTGAGCTAGTCGACTCGCTCTCTCAGGAACAGTTCATGCTGGCTTTTCGGCGTTTCGCGGCCAGGAGGGGTATGCCGTCTATCGTTTATTCAGACAATGCTAGGACGTTTGTAGGCGCTGACGTTCTGTTACAGAATTATTTCGGTCATTTGGCTCCCGAGTGGAAACTGATAGTGCCTCGTTCCCCATGGGGGGAGGATGGTGGGAGCGGCTGATCCGCTCCGTAAAGTCGGGCTTAGACGGTCACTGGGGTCGCGCTGTCTCACTAGGGCCGAGTTAGAACTGTTTTGTTTGATATCGAAGCGTGGTCAATTCGCGCCCGCTGACCTTGTGGGAGATGGTCTGGGACTGTAGTAACGCTCTGCCCTAACCATTTTCTAGT